CCTCCATCGCCATCACCATCATCATCTCCATCTCCATCAACATACGTATTATCATCATCATCATCATCATCATCCTGCTCCTCCTCCTCCTCATCACCATCATCATCACTATCATCATCATCAACATCATCACCATCAACACCATCGTGATCATCATCATCGTCATCACCATCTTCATCTCCATCACCAGTGCCATCATCACCACCATCACCATCAGCATCAACATCAGCACCACCATCATCACCAACGCCATTCACATCGTCATCAATATCATCATCATCATCATCACCACCATCACCATGATCATCATCCACATCATCATCACAATCATCACCATCACCATCATCAACATTATCGTCAATATCGTCAACACCACCACTATCACCACCACGATCATCATCAACAACATCGCTATCAACATCAACATGAACATCACCATCATCACCATCATCATCACCACCATCAATACCGTGACCATGACCATGACTATGACCATCACCATCATGACCATGATTATGACCATCGTTATCATGACCATGACCATGGCCCTGACCATCACCACCATCATCAACATCAGCATCAGCATCAACATCACCATTGTCACCACCATCACCATCACCACTACGATCACTAGCACCATCACCATCACCGTCACAATCATCAATAGCAGCAGCAGCAACAACAGCATCATCAACATCATCAACATCAGCATCATCGGATTCTAGGTTGGCCTCGCGCGCATTCACGAAGGGGCTCGAGGTCCAGGCGGAAAGGAAGACAGGCAGCCACCAGCGCCGACGACGACGCCGATAACGAGCGAAGACGGCGACGACAACAACGACACGACAGAACGACCGACGGGAAGCCAAGGCGAGAGGAGGATCGAGGGTCAAGGTGTTGGATGCTTCCAGCTCTCTCGGGGCCTCCTTGGGCGCCTTGCGGCCGCGGCTTGATCCGCCTCGAAGCTCTGGCCATGACAATTTCATGGCAGGCCCAGAGGTCGATCTTGAGGGGGAGGACCTATAACTTCTTCGGCCTGGAGGTCAATGTTGAGGGCTGGGGACCCACACCTCCTTCGCCACAACAAATTGAGACGGCCAACATTTCCAAATTCTTGGTGCATGTGGGCCTGGTTCGGGCATTAGGGCATTCAAGAACGTGGGAACGATTTCCTCCTGTAGACCCAGACCGCCGACGTCGTGATTTTTTCACAACGTCGACCCCCAGAAGTCTGGACCCCTTCCCCGGGACCGGTTTTTCGTCCTGAGTCGCTTTCTGACGGTCCCGAGGCCCGGGAAGGGCCCCCTAGGAGGCCGAAAATGACGAAAAACCTCCCGGCGTGATTTTTTCGCAGCGCGAAGAGGTCTGGGGAGGGACACGCCCGACTTACTGTTGTCGACTTCACGCGCAAGTGACCCTGGGCAAGAGTGACCTGTGGTGCGCGGCTTTTTGGGAGCCGCGGGGAAGCCAAACCCGAGCTCGCAGCACGCTGCTACCGTCTCGCGTTGAGCCACTTTGGGGCCCCCTGCGTGCCCGCACCGGAGGGAGGAGGAGGAGGAGGAGGAGGAGGAGGAGGAGGAGGAGGAGGAGGAGGAAGAGGAGGAGGAGGAGGAGGAGGAGGAGGAGGAGGAGGAGGAAGAGGAGGAGGAGGAGGAGGAGGAGGAGGAGGAGGAGGAGGAGGCGGAGGAGGAGGAGGAGGAGGAGGTCGCTCCGGCGACAGGTCACTCTGACGCTTCACCGAGGTTGACGCCTTGCCGTGCTGCCCTCCGCCGCCCGGGCCTTCCCGCCCGCACCTCCGCCGGCGGGCCCGCCGCCGCCCTCCCTCCGCTGTTGTCTTCCCCGCCGAGGGCGAGGCGCACCGGGGGCCAGGCGCTCGCGGGAGCGCGCCGCGTGTTGGGCCCTCTGGGCTTCAGTCCCCCTGCAGCGGGATTGTAGGCGACAAATAGAAGATACCACTAACAAATCTTCCCACATACCACAAAACCATAAAACATACCACCAACAATGCCACCGAAAAAATACCACGAAAGAAATACATCGTCCCTGGACTACTCTTGGACTGTTTTTGCATATTCCTCCTGTAGAAGGGGCACGCCCGACTTCAACTCTGGATGGCGGGGGGCATCAGCGGTCACGTGGTCCGGCCTTCCATCCACTGGGGAAGCGACCAGTCACACGCGACGGCCTCCCGGGACCTCGTGGGCGAGAGGGTGCCACAGACCACCACCTGCTATCTCCAGCCCCCTCGAGCCTGCAGAGGGGCGTGCCGCGGTCCTGCGGCACTCTGGAGCCCGAAGGCGAACACTGGCCCGCGGGGCGGCCCCAAGACGACCTGAGATGGCGCCGAAGCTGCCCCCTGACGGCCCCAAACATGCGACCACCGTTGTGCTGTTGTTGTTGCTGTTGTTGTTGTTGTTGTTGTTGTGGTTGTGGTTGTGGTTGTGGTTGTGGTTGTGGTTGTTGTTGTTGTTGTTGTTGTTGTTGTTGTTGTTGAACATTATTTCTTCTTAAGAATAATTATTGTTGGGGCCCCTGGTGCGCGACCCCCCCGCCGCGCCTAGGCCGCAGCCACATTTTCATCATTTTCGTGAGGAAGTCTCAGGTAAAACGATGTCCCAGATCCGGTTGTGTTGTTACGATCGGTTTTCCCTTGCAAAAAAAAGCTAAAGTGGACATTTCTTGTTCTAACATAACCAAACTTCAAGAATCCCTTGCAAAAAATAAGGTAAAGTGGACATTCGCGCGCGCAAGACGAAATCCTTCCAAAACCTTAGTTTTCGTAGCGATTTTAACATAAAAACATCAAAAAACCAATGGTTTTTCAAACAAAAATGTCAAAATTTCATCCCGCGCGCTCTTGCGGATTCGTAGGAAACCCAACACTTTTTAAACATTTCTGTCAAACGGGCTTTTGCGAGCAACTTTTTCGAACTTCTGCAACAACGGTTGCGCACCTGCCAGGGCCATCATCCCTGTCAAATAATACCATGCGGGACACATTCGTTTTTTCTTCGCGCGCGCACGCCGTCGTCGTCGGCCGCGGGGCCCTGAATAGTAGCCACGGTCGTCCGCATGCCACGAAGTGAAGTGTCCGAACGTCATAGGGCGGGAAGCTGGGTGTGGGTGGTGGCGAAGAGTCGTTTGGAAATTTGGTAGAGCTTGAACCGGCCCCCCCACAAAGTGGGGGTATTGCCCGCCTCCTATGAAAACCCTGGCACTGGTGAGAACGGAGTGTCCCCACGTGCTAGTAATTGTTGTTGTTGTTGTTGTTGTTGTTGTTGTTGTTGTTGTTGTTGTTGTTGTTGTTGTTGTTGTTGTTGTTGTTGTTGTTGTTGTTGTTGTTGTTGTTGTTGTTGTTGTTGTTGTTGTTTGTTTTCTTGTTGTTGGTTGTTGTTTTTTGTTGCTTTTTCTTTTTTTCTTTCCCGCAATGTTGACCCCTGGAGGTCAGGAGCCTTTCCCGGGGACCCGTTTTCCACCACAGGTAGTTTTTTGACGGCCCCGGGGCCTGGCAACGACCCCAGTGTTCCTCCCCCTCGCCCCGTGGTGGCTCCCGACCTGCCCAGGACGTTCCGCCAAGCCGCCCAGTGTGGCCCTGAGGCCCCCAGCGGGCCACCCGAGAGGCCCCCGACGCCGACGACGACGACGACGACGCTGCAGCGGCGTCGTCGCGCCGCAGCCTTCCTGCGGTGCCCCCCCCCGCCGAGCGAACTGGCGCATGTACTCCCTACCCACCAGACCACCCCAACCGAACCCGAAGACCCGAATTTGACCCGAATTTCGGGTTGGGGGGGGATACGGGTTCCATATGTGTTTTTTCAACGTTCCCCGACCCCACCCCAACTGGAAATGGAGGTCGAATTGAGGCCTTCGGGTTGGCTTGGGGTGGTTTGGTGGGTGGTGATGTACGCGGCGGAGCAGCGGGGCGTGCGGCCATCATGCGGCTACCAGGAGCGCCAGATAAGAGAAACGAACGGGCTCTTCAGGCCACGGCAGGCCGCGGCTGCGAGCAGGTTCCCCGACCGGCATCGAAGGAACGGCCCAAAGACCTGAACCCGTCCCGATTCCAGAGCTTTTTTTTATCATATAGCAAAAAAATTTGGGCCAAGCAAGGTGTAAGCGCCGTTGCGAGAGGCCGGCACTGGGAACCCCGACCCGCCCCCCACAATGTTGTCATCTCTGGGGGGGGGGCATCTTGCGGCCACGCGCAAGGGTAGCCCCCTGGGCAAGAACTGACCTTTTGTGCTGGGCTGTTGGGGGGCGCGCGGGCGAGGGGGGGCGGGGCAGACCCCAACGCGCAAGCCGCTGCTGCCGCATCGCTCTCGGCGATCGGAGGACCCCAGCAGGCCCGCACCAAAGGCCGCTCTGGGGAGGGGTCACTCTTACGCGCAGCCGAATATCTTGGTAAAGGCCTCCTCAATGGGGTCCGAATAGATGGGGTCGGATGATCGCGCCGCATCGCCAATGCGTCGCCGATGTATCGGCGACGTCGCCGTGGAGAAAATCGGGCTCCACATCGAGCCGTCTCGGAAATGCATCGCCGATGCGGTGCGATCCTCCGACCCCATCTACTCGGACCCCATCTGGGAAGCCTAGACTTGGTGGGGGCATCTTTTTCCCGCGCCACCTTCCCTGACTCCCGACGTCATGATTTTTTTACCGCGTCGACCCCCAACGTCGACCCCCAGAGGTCTGGACCCCTTCCCCGGGACCAGTTTCTCAATCTGGGTCGTTCTTTGACAGTCCCGAGGCCCAGTGAGGCCCCCCGTGGGCCGAAAATCGCGAAACACCTCCCGTCGCGATGTCTTCACGGCGCGAGGGGGTCTGGGCTCCGCCGGCCTTCAACCGGCGGGGCCGCCACCGTGCTGCTTCCGCCGGCCTTGCCGCTGCCGCAGGGGGCGGGAGGCCCAGAGGGCGCGGTGGGGCCCTGTCAGGGGCCACCCCGAGCAGGCAGCTCACCCCCTGCCCTTCTAGAGACGTCGGGGAGGATCGAGGAGGGTCGGGACTGATCGAACTCGGAACTCGGAACTCGGATGTCCTCGAAAGTCCGCCAGGGGCGGCGCTGCCGGGGGTGTGCAGGACGCGAGACCGCCTGCAGGCCAAGAGAGCCCGAAGCTCGGGCATCCAAACAAAGGCGAAGCCGTCTCCATGTATCGACACACGAAGTCGAAACGAGAGCCGAGCGACCAGAGGCTCGGAGCGACATCGGGAATGATCGAGGATCCAAGAGGAGCCAGGCTCGGGGATGACTGGGGAGGACCGAGGGGCATCGAGGGTCGAGGAGACCTCCCTGCTCCCCACCGCTTTGGCCCGCCCACCCTCCCATACAGCCTCCGACATAGTGTTTCCAATCCGCAGCCCCAGAAGTTCCGACTTCTTCCCCAGGTAGGACGAAGCCAGGACGAGGACAAAATCGGGGGAGTATTTACGAATTTCTGAGATCCGGCGGCTCTGGAGGATGTATCGGGCGCCGCGGCCTTCTGAGCGGATGTATCCTCGTCCTAGCCCCGTCCGAAGAAGGTTCCGAGAGTTGATCCCGCCATGAACTCCCTAGGATGGCGAAAATCGAGAGCAGCCTTTTGCCCAAAGAGCGGAGTCTTCTCTCCAGTGCGTCAACACCCAGGAGTGAAAACACACACAGACACAACTAATCGTCGATTCCAAAAGAAATATAACTCATACGGGTAATGGAGAAGACGTCAAACATCCAGAATATATGGCAAATAACAAGAATCCGGGGATTTGTGTCTATTCATGTATGTGTCCCCCGGCGCCTTCAAATGCTTTGGGCCGAAGTGGTGCTAGGCCAAAGAAGGGGCACGAGGAAGGAGGGATAGGGTTCGCATGCGGCGTGGCTCCCCCGAGGTCCAGACCCCTTCCTGGGGACCGGCTTTCGGTCCCGAGCCGTTTTTCGGACGACCTTTGGGCCTGGTTGCTACGGGCCCCCCCGAGGGGCAAGAAAACACCCAACAGAAACCATCCGCCGAGCTTTTTCCAACGGCGCGGAGGATGCCAAGGGCCCGGAGCGGGCGGTTCGCCCCCTGCGCTTCCGGGTGGAACACTGCCGAGCAGGGGCTCGAGCTAAACCGTGTTTTTCGTCTTCGTTCTGCCTTTCGTTATCCCTGGTTCTGTCTTCGTTCCGCCTCTGCTGCAAAAAGAAATCAAAACGAGAGCGGTTCACGACATCGCCAAGACGCCGTTTGGCTCGAGCCCTGCTGCCGGGAGGGGGGATCACCACTAGGATTAGGTCGGGCATGTCCCCCTACGGGCGGATTTGGGACGAAAAATAAAAAAGAACCCCTAAAATGCCCAAGAAACAATCAAAAATGGTCAAACAATCGTCCCCAGAATATTTTTTTGACTATTTTTGAATACTCCCCCTGTAGAGGGACAGGCCCGACTTAACACTAGGAGGGTCGCCACTTCCTCGAGGAGGCGCCGCTTCCCCGAGGAAGGGGCCCTCGAAGAACGCTCCAGAGCCCAGCCAAACGACGCCAAGCGTCCAAGAACCTCCTCGAGCTTCGACCGTGGAGCCGCGACCTCCAGGAGCTTCTGTCTTTGCCAAGTCATGAGGCGCACGGCGGAGACGCTTTGGGAGAGGCTGCCAACAAGGGAGGACGATGATCTCCAGGAGCTGGTGGCCCCCCTGGTGGTGGCCCCCCCCCCTCCTCGGCACTGCCGGACACTCTGGAAGGGTGTGCTCCCCTCCCAGCGCTGGCCAGGAGAGCGAAAGAGGAGCGGGGCGGCGGCCTTAGTGATGGACTCCGCGAAGTAGCTCCCGGGCCTCGCGCCCGCTCGTGAACTTCGAGCGCTCAGCACGCTCCACCTCCACCTCCACCTCCACCTCCACTTCCACCTTCACCTCCGCCTCTTCCTCCTCCTCCTCCTCCTCCGCCTCCTCTTGATCCTCGTCCTCGTCCTCGTCCTCGTCCTCGTTGTCGTTGTCCTCCTCCTCTTCCCCCTCCCCCTCCTCCTCCTCCTCCTCCTCCTCCTCCTCCTCCTCCTCCTCCTCCTCCTCCTCCTCCTCTCTCTCCGTTCTTTTTCCTCATGAATGACTTATCCCTGTCGCACCCCGAGGCCAGTCGGAAGGGCGGGCCAGACGTTTCGCCTGAGGGTTCCTGTGTGGTTGTGAGCCCGAAGCTTAGAAGCTGGCAGCAGTTTCGCAGATGGAGGGCGGGGTGGTTTTCAATATGTGGCTCTGCGCCGCGCAGAGTCGTTTGAACAAATGCAAGAGCTTCACATATTGAGGACAGGTGGCTTTCAACATGTGGCTCTCGCCTCAGCGCCGCGCACATTCGTTTTCAGAAATTGCCACTCACGGATTGATGGCGGTTCCTTTTCAGAATGCGGTTCTCGCTTTAGCTCCGCGCATATCCGTTCCAAAATCTTGCAAGAGTGTCGTATATTCTCATGGTCAGCGTACCAGAAATGGCATCTTGGAGCGATTCAGGACTGTCAGGGCGCAAAGTTTACGTTGATTCGCGGTGGAGTCCCAGGACTGGCGTCCTGGCACGGTTCAGGATCGTCAAGACGCAAGGGTCAGGTTGACTCGTGGCGTCGAAGTCTTGCGAATGGTGCTTTGGCGCTCTTCAGGATTTTCACACGGTTGTCTCCCAACGGGGCACTTCCCTCAGTGGATGGCATATGAAAAGGGAGCTTGGAGGGAGGGTGTGTTCCAACATCGTTGATGAGTCTTGGGTTTGCACTGGTCCTCGTCCTCCTCCTCCTCCTCCTCCGCCTCCTCCTCCTTCTCCTCCGCCTCCTGCTCCTCGTCTTCCTCCTCCTTCTCCTCCGCCTCCTCGTCCTCCTCCTCCTCCTCCTCCTCCTCCTCCTCCTCCTCCTCCTCCCTCTCTCTCTCTCTCCCCCTCTCTCTCCTCTTTTTTTCCCTCTCTCTTTTCTCAGACACTCTCATCGCTTCTTGGAGGTCTTGTCGCCTACGGATGCCTTCCAGCAAGTGCTACTCGTCAAGGGCGTTCCAAAGGTGCCCAGATCGTCCCGATCGGCCGCTGGAGGCCCGAGCTATGGCCCGAACACCTCCTCCTCTTCCTCCTCCTCCTCCTCCTCCTCCTCGGCCAGGATCACCGATGGGCATTGGGTGAGTAGGGGGCGGAGTTCTGAACCTGATTACCCAATCCATCGCGATCCCCAAGCTCCCCTTCGGCTTGCGGGCCGCAGCCGCTGACCCAGACCGAAGGAGAAACAAGCCTCTGCTGGACGCTCCCAGCCGCCTTCGCGGTGCCAGGCCACGACGCAATGCAGAGAGTAGGAGGCAGAGGAGGAGGAGGAGGAGGAGGAGGAGGAGGAGGAGGAGGAGGAGGAGGAGGAGGAGGAGGAGGAGGAGGAGGAGGAGGAGGAGGAGGAGGAGGAGGAGGAGGAGGAGGAGGAGGGTCGGCGGCCAATCAAAGCGATCGAGAGAGGTTGAGCATCTCCGGACGTCCAGCACTTGAGCGCTCCAGCGTCATCCCCAAACTGAGGCCGCGAGGCTTCGCTGCCGCAGTGCCCAGGCCCCGCTCCCCTGGGAACTGAAGTGTGGGAGGCCCAGCCACGTCCTAAGGCTACATATGAAACAATCCTCGTGCTTCGTCCTTTGGCGGCGCGCCCAGGAGGGAGGTGAGAAGGAACGGGCCTCCTCAGAAGGCTCGGACGTCCCGCGGCCCTCTGAGAAGCTTCCCGAGCCTTCCCCGAAAGCATGCTGAACCACTCAGAAGGCCGGAAGCCTCCTTAGAAATCCCGCCGGCTTCTGAGAAGGCCTCCTCCTTCTCACTCCCCCCCTTCCCGTCGCTTGCCGCCGATCCCTGCGCCCTGCTCCCCTACCTCCTCCTCTACAGTCAACCCTCCCTCCCTCTCCCCTTCCCTCCCTCCCTCCTTCCCCTCCCCTCCCCTCCCCTCCCCTCCTTCCCTCCCCCCCCTCCCTCGCCCCCTCCCTCCCTCTCTCACCCTTTTCCATCCCTCCCTCCCCTCCCTCCCCTCCCCTCTGGGAAGGACGCACGATGAGGATGCATGGGCCGTGGAAGGCTACGTCGACACTCTGCGACCGGGGCGCGGCCAGCGAAAGCGGCCAAGGATGGGCCGAAGAGAAGGGGTGCAAGGGTACAACCTTGGAGAGTTGCTCACCCTTACTGTGCGGGTTGGCTGTGCTCCCTCGTCGTCGTCGTCATCCCTTTCCTGCCCTTCTCGCCCTCGTCCTCGCCGTCCCGTCCCTCGCCACCCCCTCCTCCTTGATGAGCGAGTCCTCCTCGCCGTGCCGCCAGCTGTGTCGGCAGGGCGGGCCTGAGACTTCCTCACCGCTTGCGACCCTGAAGCTTGGAACTTCCCAGCGATAAGAAGTATGGGGGGCGACCAGTCTTCAAAGGATGGCTCTCGCACTCACGCCACGCACATTTTCTTTTAAGCTATACAAGCGTTGCAAGGCTGTGCAGGGCAGTTCCTGTTCAAACAGTGACTACGTATGGCATAATGAGCTCCATTTGCACATGAGCAGCAGTGCAAAGTTGTGCAGCAACTGCACGGACGGGTGGTGGTGATGAAGTGTGCACTAATTGCACGGATGGAGAGCGGCTCATTTTCAGCTTTGAGCTCTCGCTTGAGCCTTCCTGCATCTTTCTGATTCTATCCCGTCGCGCTTATGATTGGTGAAAGGGAACGCTTCTAGGGATTCATCAGGAGGAGGAGGAGGAAGAGGAGGAGGATGAGGAGGAGGGGGGGGGAGGAGGAGGAGGAGGAGGAGGAGGAGGAGGAGGAGGAGGAGGAGAAGGAGGAGGAGGAGGAGGAGGAGGAGGAGGAGTATCGAGTATCGAGCTATTCGACGTAGTCGAGTTTACAAACTAAAGTCGGCTTCGCTGCTCAGCTTTGCTAAGAAGCTTTGGCCACTTCCCCTGCTCTATTCGATCGAGGTACTCTCGTCGGTGAGCAGGGATCTGAAAGTCACACGGCTTACTAAGAGCACGATTCTGTTGGCTGCCGTATCGACCACAGCCACGACAGAACCAGACTTTGTGTGCAAGCTGTAATCGCATCGCATGAGTCGAATCGATCCAACCCCCAGCAATGTGGAGCCGCCCCCCCGAGGAACAGCAGCATATTTACTGTCGAGCGTGACGGGCTGGAAACAAACGGACTGCCACCACTCTTTCTGGGTGGCCAGGGATGCTGAGCCACAGCATCGCAAACAACTCTTACGATCATCACTGAGAGAATGGGCGGAGCAAAAGGAAGAAACGAGGGAAGGGGCGGGGGGGGGAGGAGGAGGTGGGTCCTTACTCCTCACGGCGCCGTTCCCACCCCGCTCCTCGGCCTCCAGCGCGTCCGCCGTGGCGCGCACGAGGCGGTGCCGCACCAGGGCGGCCGTTGCCTCGGCCTGGTAGGCCCTCGTCCTCGCCTCGTCGGGGACGCGGGCACAGTGGGCCGCCGCGCTGGCGGCCTCGTCAGCTGCAAGATTGCCCTGGGCGAGCCAGGATGGAACCTCGCGCGCAACGATATCATCTGCAGTCAGATGTGAGTTGACGAAAAGAACACTCAACTGTGTTGGACGGGCTTGCAACTTTTTCCCCAGGGTCAACCAAAGGTCAGCGTTGGGCCCAGAGGGCCTCTTGTACAAACCAGAATAAAAGCCTTGGGCAACAGCATCGTTGTCAGTCACATAACAAACGAAGCCTCGCGTGCATTCCACTGCCAACAAAAGTGCTCTGAGTTCGCCTCGGGGCACCGACTGAGATTTCCCGACCAAGGGCCCACTGACCGACGAACGAATGCGGCAGGGTTCGAACGAATCAAATGCAACAATTCCGAGCCCGACACGAATGAAACGTTGGTCAGCAGCGTTTCTCCCTCCACTTGCATCGCCAAACGCTATGATGGGTTCGTGAAAGGACCCTTCACCAAGACATCCCTCAATATCGTTCGACGAGCTGCCTCGGATGTGCCAGTTCTCCTGAGACGGAGGCTGCGGCACTGCAGTCCACGCTGCTGGGATGAGGCCTCGTAGCCAAAAGCATGCTTCAGACTCTGCACCTGCGTACGCTGCCGGCGTGAGCGAATCAGAATCTGTATATGCCTTACAGCCCCTGTTCTCAGCACATCCCCAGAACCTGTGGAAGGGGGTCTCGGGCTCCTCGGAACACCTGGGGCATAAAACATCTTGGTTTCCCTTCAGCTGCTCATGTCGGCGTACTCGTGGCCAGGCTCCGCCTGTGGCCACTGATACTAGCAACTCACTTAAACGGTTCCCATGTGGAGCGAAAAGCAGCTGCTTCAACAGACGACGTAATGAATAATTATCGATCCCCCACTGCATACCTTCTCCACAATAGTGCTGGGAAGCGTTCCTCCAAAGCTGATTCTGGATGGTCTGGTCGAAATCGTCCAAGAGGGGATCAGGGTTATCCTCGATCAGGTTTCCAGCCAACTCTGAAGATGGGAAACGCCAAGCAGCTAAATCATCACAATCCCCTGGAGCGTTCCAATGCGAGGGCTCCGCGGGGTCCCAACCTGCTTGGAGTAAATACAAAATAACGGCACCAGTGGGACCCCGAACACACCGAGATCTCTGATTCTCAGGGGTGCTTCGCAAACGTTCCAATAACTTGGGCCAAGCCCGAGATATGCCTGGCCTGATTGTCGGCAGCGATAGCCACTGGCGAAGCCAGAGGTCGAGGCAGGCTCGCGGCAAAATACGTGCTGGGTCCCCTCCAGGGCATCTGATATCCAACAGCGTTGTCAAACATCGGCCCTTCTTGCCAGTGCCGCAAGCCGCTCCGAGCTGCCGTCGAGCTCCCAGCATGGCGGTGCCAAAGACTCCGTGCAACTGGTGCCCGTAGAGCTGGGCAGAAAGTGTGCCGACTCTTGTCAGCTTGCTGGTAACGACGTACCGCCGAGCTGCACGTGCAAAACCGACTATTTTCCGATGCATATGTTTGCCTTTAACCACTCTTTTCGACCGTTGTTGGCGAGCATGTCGTATACCTCCTCCCAAATCCACCCCGAGATATCCAGCCTGAGATTGGGGATGAACAACAAAACCTGCGACTCGGAGTTTCATGGAGATATACTTCGCATCGGCAATGTTAGAGAACAAGATGATGCTCTTTGGTGAAACGGTCAAAGACTCGCGCTGGAGGGCTCGACAGGTGCCCCAAAGACCTGATAGTAATCTTTGGCGCAACTGTGCTCGTGATGCATGGACCCGCTGAGATAGATCATCTATCCAGATCCTCGAACCCATACCTGGATGCGCGGTAGTGGTCTTTGATAAGATAAAATATGTAAGACACCTCGCAAACCTGGTTCCTCCTCGTAAACCCTGCACAATGCTTCTCGTTGGGAGTATGGGTTCGGCGAAAGCTCCACATCGACCTACAGCACGAGGCATGAGGCATTGTACAAGCTCTAGCACCAAGACTACAGACGGAAATCCCAACCGTATTGCTGCAGGTATAAGTAGAAACCATTCCATGGCGTCGTAGAAACCCTGGATGTCCAGAAGCCCGTGGCCCGTGGGAATCCCAAGGGTGCCTGAAACCTCTTCCTCGCAGACTCTCATAAAAGCCTCTCGTAAAGCAGCATTTCCTGAAATCGCAGCGTCCCACATGGGCTCGGACTCATTGGCCCAAGTCTTGACCAGGGGTTCGCGTGTGAGACTCCAAATTCTAGCAACCATCGTGAGCAGCCCTATGACCCTGTCCCCTGAGGCTTTTTTGGGGATCATGCGCGCAATGGTTAATCCCAACTGTGATGGCCATGTGAGGGTCTCCTCGATCACTCCATACATGCGAGCTAACTCGTCCAGGGCAACATCTGGTAGTCGCTCGACGTCCGTCGGCGACAAGACATCGACACCCATGCCTGCACGAGGGCGCATCGCATGGGCTGCCTGGCGAATATCCAAAACTGAGATTGGCTCCAGGGGATCCTGACGAGCCTCGACTCGGGCTCGCTCGAAAGCTTCGAGAACCTTGGTTTCCTCCAGAGGTCCAGGGGCCCAGAGGTCTCTAAAAACCTTCGCTTTGGCATCAACAATATCCCGTGGGTGAAATACAACTTGCTGGCCGACTGTGACTTCGTCTAAGGGCAAAGGTTCTTGCCGCATCGCACGGTGCAAGACGCCTGATGCAGCTGGCTGTACCATCCAATCTCGGAACTCAGCAATCGAGGCTCGCATGGCACGGCAACGACAGCGAGCAGCTATCTTCCTAGCCGAGTGGGCAAAATCTGCGAGCTTATACTGGTGTTCTGGAGCTCCCTGAGACAGCACACTTTTCCAAACCTCCCAAGACGGGTCGATTCCTTCGCGTAGGCCCCTGTGGGCCTGATCAGGTGACTCATCCAACAAATTACGACAAGCGATTTGCAATTGGGACTGTTGGGCATAGCCGTTTCCCCGTGTACGATGATTGTTTAATCTGTGCAGAACCGTGTGGACTCGCTCCCACCATGTAGCCACCACATCCCGATACGGCACTAACCTACCTTTATTAGGTACACGTTGTTCAACGACTTTGAAAGAATACCCTCTGCCACGTGATAACGAAGGCGGGCCACCCACTCCATGATGCTCGTACACCGTCCTTTCCAACGTCGTCACCCATGAGGCATATAGAGCCGAGACTGGGCCGACGGACGAGGGTTCAAGCCTAGCGGCTACGGACGAGGCAAAAGCAATGGGGGGAGGGCACTGATGTTCGGGGATAAACCCGACCGCCGTCCTGGCTTCGATCCAGGTCTCGGCTGGGATAAAGAAGCTGACCTCGGTGTTCTCCAAACCTTGGGGGGGCGGCTCTTGAAACTCGCTGGGATGGGTGGTCGACTCGTTGGGAACTGACGGTGTACAAGCATCCACTGGAGGGACCAGACCCCACTCAATGCACGGAGCGTGCTGAGGTAACTTGAAAACATGAGCTTCAGGATTCCAGACAAAAGGCCGAGTGTTGGGCTCCACCCCGCTGGGCGCTGCCTCAACACGCACTCCGCTGTCCACGCCGGCGTGTCCAGTGGGGAACGTAGTCACGGCATCCCCCGTAGAACTCGATGACACGTTGCCTTGCTCTGACGAAGTAGGCTCCACCTTAGTCTCGCTGCTGGTTGCACCCTGGGCAGCGGGCTCCGAAGTATTAGGGCGGTGGTGGAAACAAGATTCATTGGCCCAAGGGTCCTCCTCTTCGTAACCATCCAAGAGATGGTCAAGGGGGTCCTCCCTGAGCTGATTCAAATCGTCACTGTCTGGGTCCGAAGCTGGAGCTGCCGTGCTGGAAGTGCCAGATCCGAAGTTGTCATCGTCGGCAGCCTTCCAGAGGTCGCCAAAAAGTTCTAGGTGCCGATCTCGACGCTTCTCGACTGCAAGCTGAGTGGCAACTGTGCGCTCAACTTTGGCACGCTGCGACTTCGATCCAGGCGTGGGAAGACGGACTGGCCTAGGCACCTGAGGGAGGCGAGCAGGCAGCTCGAGTCGGCGTGTGAGTAGCTGTCTGGCAGACGATCGGAGACTCAGCTGCAAACCACAGTGGGTCTTCCATGGGACAGACAGGGCCGCTTGCACATCTACAAGATACGCGGCGGCTGCAAAACTACGCACAACATAATCAATGTGACTGCCACTTTTTCCAGCGTCGCACGTGTAATCGATGGGGGCCTTCACGACCTCGCCTCCGACTCGTGCTAAAAACCCCGATGCGGCAAGAGATGTCGAAGACGCGTTGAAATCTCCCACAACTATCCAGGGCAACTGGAGTGATGGCAGGAAAGCTCCTAGCTTCGAGAAGCGTGCGATGTTGTCGTCGGTCATGCCGACCGAAGTGAAACCGTAGAATGTAATGATCACGATCGAGTAGCCTGACATGTGCACAACTACTGCCGTGAAGCCGTCGGTGGCCGACTGGCCGTCAAACTGATACTCTGGCAAATTCAGCTGGGGGGCAAGTGAGTGCACCTGGTAGTGCCCAGGGGCCAAAATCCACTCGCCTCCCTCAGTGGCTCTCTCGAAACCTCGTGCAGTCGTTGACTTGCCTGTAGCCCGAGCTGGGTTGGCAACTAATCTGAGACGAGACTGACGGGACTTCTTTGTCCACTCACGCAAGGCAGTGCGGGAAACGTGCGTCTCCACAAAACAAAAAATCTGATGGGTGTCATTCTCACGAGCCCTGCGGGCGAAGTTCCACACCTTCTCCCCCATGGCGGTAACGTTGCCAAACAGAAGCTGCGTATACTTGTCATCGCTCGTGCACTTCGATGCCACCCCTAGTCAAGATGACGCAGGGATCGGGTCCTCCGACAGATGCTGCTGGGACTGGAACTTGGCGGCTGAGAGCTTGGCTGCCTCAGCACGAACTCGCTCTGCATGGACATCTGCTGCTGGAGCCGCACCTGCGGCCGCACCCTCAGGCGCCTGCGGCGCTGCCGCTGCCGCTGCCTGGCTGCCGCCGCTGCCGCTGCCACCACTGGCTGCGGGCGCGGCCTCGCCTGGCTGCGGCGCTGCGGGGGGTGCGGCCTGGCCCTCGGCCGTGCGCCTCTTCTTCATGAAGCGGTCCTTGATGGCCTGGCGCATGTCCTGGGCGTTCTTGAGCATCGTGGTGACCTCATCAGCCTTGCCATCGAGGGTGGTCTTGGCCGACTGCAGCTCACTATGAATCTTCCTCAAGGTCTCCTTCTCGGAGTCCTCGCATTCCAACTCGTCTAGATTGTCGAACAGCGTGTGGTCGTACACTAGCTCGAAGGGCTTGCCACACTTGTCGTCGGCCTTCCCCTCTGATGGCTTGGGTACAACTCCCTCAGCCGTTGCCAGTGCACGTGCGGCCTGCTGCTTCACGATGGTGGCCTCCGCCAGCTCCTCGGCGAGACGACGCTCCTTGAGCTCAGCTGCCTCCAATTGCCGACGAATGCGAAGGACTGACTGCACTGATTGAGTATGGCGATTGTTGGCATCCCTCCAAGCGCTGTCCGCCCTCTGAAGAGACGGAAGCGCATCCTTGGGCTGCATGTGCTGTGCCTCCTCACGCTTGAGCTGGACGACCTGCTGCATCAGAGCCTCCTTCAACTTGGGGTCCTGCGCGGCAGCGATCGCCTGCTCTAGGAGGGTGCGGGCTGATGATTCAACTGCCTGTCCACGCGTCCCTTTGCTCGCCTTGGAGCTGCGGGGCGTGGATTGGTTACTGCCTGCATCACTATCCTTACTATCCTTGGCAAAGCTCACGTTCTTGATGATACCCTTCGGCGGCGCACTGGGACTCTTGGGCCTCAGCACGTAGAGCTTCACCTTGCGTCCACAGCGGGCACACTTGCGGTCTCTCTGCTCGAGTCTGTCGTTGTATTCACACTGCCCACACGAGCGGCATGTCGACCACGGCGCCATGGATGCTGGAAACCTCGGATTTCGTCACCACTCTATCACGGGAGAGACGGGCAAATCTTCAGCCCGAGAGAAGTGGTGTGCCCCAAGCACCACGGGGAGGTACCGAGGCTGGGTTCGGAGCGAGAAACTGCCCTGCGCACGGGGGCGAGGGACTTGTGCTCGAGCCCAGATTGCTTGAGAGGAGGAGGAGGAGGAGGAGGAGGAGGAGGAGGAGGAGGAGGAGGAGGAAGAGGAGGAGGAGGAGGAGAAGGAGGACTCAGGGTAACTCCTTCTCAAGCTGGGACTCTCGCCCGAACGGCAGGCCTCTGTGGTGCTCGTCGTTCAAGGCTGCGCTTCCCACAACGAGGAAGAAGAAGGCTTGCAAGGAATGCAGAAGGCAGGGCTTGCGACGGGAAGGTGTAACGCAACATCGCTGATGCATCCAGGGTATATTCTGGTCCTCCTGCTCCTCCTCGTCGTTTTCCGTCACCTCCTCCTCCTCCTTCCCCTCCTCCTCCTCCCCCTCCCGCTTCCCCACTCTATCCCCGTTCCTCCTTCCCTTCTGCCCCATCCCCCTCCTCCCTCATCCCTTTCTCACATTCTCCTTTCCCTCCACTTCCCTACACAATTATTCGCAATCGTTCATTCTGGGTGCTGCTCTCCTCCACGTCTTAGTTTTCACCCGCCGCATCGGCTTCTCTCGCACACGCACACACATACACACACACACACTACTTCCCAAACTAATCGAACAGCATGTGTGAGTTTCACACTCGGACTATTTTTACTCGTTCTGCAGTGCGCTCTCGCTTCAGCGCCTGCCACTGCCCCCTACTCCTCTCCCTCCGCCTCCCTCACGTCCCCCCTCCACCTCCTCCCTCCTCCTCCTTGCTGCTGCTGCTCCTCCTCTTTTCCTCCGCGACGACGGTTGCTGACGAGCGACGACCGCCGACCGCCGACCGACGACGACGACGACGGCAAGGACTGCGACGACGACGACGATTAACTACGGACCACGTACGACGATGACCACGACGACGACGACCGACGACGTTCGACGACGACGGACGACTCGGCGCGCACCAAGCATCCGACGTCGTGACTTTTCCACGGCCTGGCTCTCCCAAGGTCCAGATCCCTTCCTCGCGGACCGGCTTTTCATCCCGAGCCGCTTCTTGACGGTCCCTGGGCCTGGTGAAGCACCCACCCGAGGCGGAACAGAAAATCCAAAACCTTCCGCCGTGACATTTTCGCAACGCGACGAGCTCAGTGCATCCGCCGCGCGGCCCCGCGTGGCCCCTGGTAAGCGCTTCAAAAAATCCAGTGTTTCGACATTTGGCCGAAGGGTGGGTGGGGGAGGGGCGGTGGTCTGGGTCCGGGCCGGTGCTAGCCGATCCGTTTTTGACAGTCGCGCAGGCAAACTGGGGGGATAGCGGCCCGACCGGTCGCCGAAGGCAGCCGAGCTTTGGCGTATAGCCGATAGGCGAACAAAGGAACAAACACACAGCCATCCAGAGGCCGAGAATTGCTGAACTGGCTTCCCAGCGCGAGGCTGTCAAGGGCGCGCAGGACATCCGCCGCGAGCCGCGAATGCCGTCGCCGCGCGCGCGCGTCGCGCGCGCGTGCGCGGCGCGCGCGCGCGCCCGTAGAGCGTGCCCGTGGCGGTGCCGGCCAGCCTGCGTACCGCGGCGCCGGCGGGGCCGAGGAGGAGGAGGAGGAGGAGGATGAGGAGGAGAAGGAGGAAGGAGGAGGAGGAGGAAGGAGGCGGGAGAAGGGAGGAGGGAGGAGGGAAGGAGGGAGGGAGGAGGGAGGAGGGAGGGAAGGAGGGAAGGAGGAGGAGGAGGAGGGGGAGGTGGAGCAGAAGGAGGAGAAGGAGGAGGATGAGGAGGACTGAGGAGGCAGGAGGAGGGAAAGGAGGAGGAGGAAGAGGAAAAGGTGGAGGCGGATTGAGGAGGCTCGAAGAGGAGGAGGCGGAGGAGGAGGAGGAGGAGCAGGAGCAGGAGGATGTTGATGCTGATGATGCTGATGATGATGATGATGATGATGATGGTTATGATGATGATGATGATGATGATGATGATGATGATGATGAGGATGATGATGAGGATGAGGAGGGATCGAGGAGGAGACGAGATGAGACAAGACAATCGTATCGGAGCTCTGTGGGCCGAGAGACTGCTGGCAATCGAAGCTCCGCGCACCTGTGCAGCTCGGGGCCAACTCGCAGAGGCAGGCGGCCCGTCGGAAGCCGCCCGCGCGGCCCCTACAAGCGAGCCCCGCGCCCCCGCTGCGCCTCACCCCCGTGGGAGATAAGTTCCACGGGGCAATGAGAATGACCGATGACAACCAATGCTGTGCAGCAATGTCCACGGGCAAGCAAGATGAGGATGATGCTGCTGATGATGATGATGATGATGATGATGATGATGATGCTGATGACGATGCTGATGATGATGGTGACGGTGATGGTGCTGGCGTTAATGATGACGCTGATGATGATGGTGATGATGATGCTGCTGCTGATGCTGCTGCTCATGATGACGTGATGATGAAGAATCCACGCTTTCGCCACAAAAAAACACGACTGGGTAATAACGGGGAATACCAACCCTGCTCCCTCCCACGCTTCTCAGCAATCGGGTCTTTCGTTTCTTTCTTCTCCTCGTTCTCTCTCCATTTCTCCTTCAAACTACCTTTTCCTCCCTACCTCTATATATTTCCTCCATCTTTCACTTACCTTGCATCCGCTCCTCTTTCCTTCCCCTTCCCTCACTTCTGTCCGTGCCGGCAGTATCCTTTCTCATGTCTTGCGTTCCCTATTGTCCCTCTTCTCCCGCCTTCTTTCCTTCTTGACGTCCCACTCTGTCACCGGATGCCTCCCCTTTCTCCTTCTTTGAAGACATCTGGTCCTGTCGATTGCGTGGCATAGCTTTGCACGCCTTTCCCAACCAACCAGTGGCAGTTGAACGGAACATTATCAGGAAGTGGAGGAGGAAATATACGAAATTTAATGATCACCCTGATGATGAAGAGGAGCAAGAGGAAGAGGAGACGGAGGAACCGCGGGAGGAAGGGAAATAAAGGAAGAAGGAGTTGTCGGATGTGGAGGGTGAGGAGGACGTGTCGTATGAGGACGGGGAGGAAGGCGGAGGTGACGGGAGAGTGATGAATGAGGGCGAAGGAAAGGACGAGGGGGAAGGGGAGGGGATCCCTAGAATGTTATAGACTCGCTGGAACACTCTCGGACACCCCTGGGAGCCACCTTGAAGTGCCTCAGGACCTCCTACCACACCCCCAACACCTATTACAATCTCCCTCTTCTTATTCTTCGACTTGAACTTCCTTCGGGGATCATCCGTAAACTTGGAAGACTCAGAGGGGATTCGCATGGCCCCTGCGCAAGCATGTCAAACACACATCGAGAAATGTATACAATCCTCCTCCACCTCCTCCTCCTTCTCCCTATACCTCCTCCTCCTCCTCCTCCTCCTCCTCCTCCTCGGGGGGATTGTCGGCCTCTGGGGCCCCCCCGGGCCCGTCACACAACGACTCAGGCTGGAAAGCTGGTCCCCAGGAAGGGGCCCAGACCTCTGGGGAGCCTCGTGGCGAGCAGGTCACGACGTCGGCTGACCTCTGCCCCCAGGAGGTCTGGACACCCTCCTGGGTGCTGTTAGGTCGGGCGTGT